GAACAAACGAAAGCCATCTTTTTTTTTTATTTAAAGCTGGTTTGCCACTATTTTTGTTCAAACCTAACGGTACGTGCTGGGCAGAATTAAGTACTTCTACTGAATACTAAGACAGCTGAGACATCTTTTTTAAAAAATATACATTAGTCTTACGATGTTGAAACAATTGCAAGCAATTTTGGTCTATTTGGCACGAAAAAAACTAGAAAGATTTTTCTTAACAAAGATCTGAACTTTTTAAAAATTTATTTATTATTATTTATGAAATTTACAACTGTATAAATTAATATACATTCAGCAAATGTGATACAAAGAAATATATGACATGACAAGGCTTGTAGAGAATCTACCCATAGGTAGCACTCTAAAAAATTCTAAATTTGGAGATCAAGAGGCCATTTTCTTGTCAGACGCCTTGAAGGATTATCGGGGATAGAGGAGGAAGCAAGGTTAGAAACGAGAGGATTAGGATGGTTCTGAAGTTTATTATGGAAGGACATATATCTGGATTGGGCAACATATGGAACATTCAGGTCATTATGGATTATTTTATTTGTTACAAAATAAGGAGCATTAAGGATTTTGCCAAGGATTTTGGAGCCCCATAGCTCAACTCCGTAGGTCCAAATAGGCCTTATGATAGTCATGTATATGAATCTTTTGTGATTAATTGGAAGGTTAGAGCATTTGAATAGTAAGTGCTGCAGTAGTCGGAAACGTCGAGCGGTTTCTTGTCGTTTCAGTCTGGTATGAGGATTACAAGTTAGACGTTTGTCCAGGTGGAGTCCTAGGTATCTGAACTTTTAAAAACAGTTTTCAGAGTTTTCCACAACTGTCCTCCCCCCTAAGATTATTAATAAGGATTAACACACGAGAACGTTGCATTTAGAATGACTTCCATTACTTTTTATTTATTTAATTTAATTTTACTAACGTATTCGAGTTACTATCGCCCCAGTTTTTGACTAAAAAAAATCTAATTATTCATGATGGCTAAATTATAAATAAATCAAGAGTTTAATAGTTTAGTTTTAAAAAATATATAAATATTTTATTATTATTACATACATGTAACTTTATGAATTTATATTTTATTATAATAATTATTTATGAAATAAGTTATAAATTATACAATATCTCTGAAAAATACAAACTTTCTTAATGAATTTTCCAGATAATTATCAAACCAGCTGGTTACCGCAGCTGATTTATTTATTTAATATTAACACAGCAGTCTGAATCATACAAATTGCTATAATATGAACTTCATGAATATATCGCTTGTGTACATTACAATTAGACTTACCCGAGACTAATTCTAAAATCTTTATTTAACTAAAAATATAAGATAACATAAATGTTCAACTTACTCTTAGCAAAATAGTTAGTTGGAAGGTGTGAAACACACTGATCTCAAGAGCACTATAGAAACAACAATGATAGACATTTAAAATTTTTTTTTTTGGGAACTTTGTTCAGTTGTCACTAGAGGGCATTGTTCTTCAATATAGAAAAAAATTTAACCTTTAAATGAACATGGAAGCTTATTATTTACATTTAAATTTCGACCTATCCATTACTGGCTTCCCTCTCTATAATTGGTGCGTTCACCATAATACTATTGTGAATTACTGAAATAATAAAAACAGTCATTTCATATGAAATGACCTAATAATAGAATGCAGAAATATCGATATGGTTAATAAATCGACCAGTCTCCTGAAAAGGATTAAGCATCATATTAAAAAAAATTATATATATAGAAAAATCATTTGTTAGATTTTGCAACGACACATTTACAGATATTTAAATATATTCCGGAAATTCATTCGCCGCCTATAGATTGTTGCATAATATTGAAGCCAAGTTGTAAGTCACAACTGTTCCGCACAACTGCTTGCGAAATTCGATAAATATAATAAAAAATCGACCGGCAATAGCCACATGCAAATGTAACATAGTTCCCACATATGCACCTTTTTTAGAATGGCTTGCGGTTGCGCAACGTTCTAGTAAAAAATATTTAAAAATACATTTCATATACTTGTCTCAGGTTAACAATTATTTTCTCGTTTTTATATTTCAAAAATTACGTATGCAAAAAACGATCAGTTATTATGATCATGAACAATTATGAAAATAAAGGAAGGAGATGATCCGAGGTGGCGGTCATATATAGGCTAAATAGTGGTAAAACTATTTTATTCAAAGCCGACGTTTCGACCCGACTTAGCAGGTCTTCTTCAAGAAGGTGTGTTCAGCTAGAAGTTTCAGTTAGAACTGAAGTGAAATAATAAAAGAAAAGAAATTTAGAAATTCACTAGAAATTCAGTTCTAAGTGAAACTCCTAGCTGAACACACCTGCAAAGTCGGGTGGAAACGTCGGCTTTTAATAAAATATTTTTACCACTATTTAGCCTATTTATAGCCACCCCGGACCATCTCCTTCCTTTATATTTAAATTATGTGTGCAAATTGATCAGTCATTATGAAAATATTGTCTCCATTCATATGGATTTTGCATTTTTGAAGTGAAAACTTCTTTATACGCGTTTTTTCTTTTTTTGTAGAGAGTGAATTTGATTGAGCCATCAGATCTCCGAGGTGTAACGCACGGGGTAAAATCGGCTGAAGTTGACTAATTGAAGTGTTTTTGCCTATGGATTAAAATATATCAAAAACTAAATATCCGACCTCTTTATTATTAGCAAGAGAAATGTTCAGCATTTCATCCTATAATAATTTAATGTATATTAACCTACAACAAAAACTCTTGGAATTGGGGCGTTTTCAATTTGAAGGTCAGCAAAGTTTGTCAATTTAATTAGGTAATAAAAGTTCGAAAATATCCATTTGCTTTCAGCTTGATTCGTAAGATAATTTGAGTACAAAATCGCAAAAAAAGGTGGCCTACACAAATATTGGGCCGTTATTTTGGCTTTTTTTTTTGAGGGGGGGGCCCAAGCCAAACTGTCCAATATTTCTCTCCACTATGTGATCAAATTATCTTACAATCAAGTGGAAAACTAATGAGTATTTACGTCAAAATTTTAGTACCTAATTAAATGGACAAAGATAATAATTTGATAGAAAGGGGTGTATAATACGGACTAGGAAATAAGTGCATTATTTAAAAAAAAAATTGTATAAATAATGGTTCTTCATATTGACGATATCCAAAAGTCGATGGTATTTTCATAAATAATTTTGTGGGTATAGGTCACGCCAAACAGCCCAATATTTTTGTAGGCCACCTTTTTTTTTTCTCTAGATTTTGTGATCAAATTACCTTACAGTCCAAGTGGAAAGAAAATGAGTCTTTACAAGTTTTTAGTACCTAATTAAAGTGACAAAGTTTGCGAACCTCCAGATTGAAAACGCTCCAATTTCAAGAATTTTCCCAAATATAACTTTTGTAGGTTAAGATGAGATGAAGCTATTTACAAAGTTTCAGGTGGATGATAATTATTTGATAAAAAGGGGTCTGTACCTCGGACAATGTTTGAGAGGCGAAAAGAGAAAAATAATGTCGAAAACCAAATGATAACGAGTTCAATGGAAGATATAGATTAAAATATCTTAGAAACTAAAAATCGAACCTGCATACTGTAAGCGAGGAAAATGTTCAGAATTTCATCCTTTTTATAATAAACCACTAGTGGATCAAGGATTTAATTTTGGGATGGGCTTCAGATTTTTTTTCATATATATAACGATAATTAAGTTGAAAAAAAAAAAGAAGAAATGAACTACCTTTATGAAATGGTGTTTAAGTGATTCTTGAACTCCTATTAAATGTATTTACACGAACAATAATACTTTCAGAGATAGTTTTTAATTTTTTTTTTCTATAAAATATGGTTATATTTTACCTTTTGAAGGGGAGTTTCAACCCGAAAGCTCTCCCCGTAGATCCGCCTGTGTAATGAACTATTATTCATAATTAATATTTAATATTATTAATCTTGCTTTGTTGATGTTTTTTCTCCTATCGTGTGGTCTAAAGCACATACCTTTGTCTTTTTTTTTTTTAATTTACTAATGTTCATTATAGCGTAAATATGATTGATATCTGTTCCTAGTCTAAAAGGATTATAAACTGGAACATTTCCGGACTTATTCACGTCGTAAGTTAGCGGTAAGTTATAATATGCAAATGTTTTAATATATAAGAGGCAAGGAACGGCATGAGCTACACGTCCTGTCGAAAGCAACTTTTATATAACCTCTTTGGAGAGAGGGGAGGCCGCATGCCTCTCTGAAAGCAGGTTTTCTTAACTAGGTTTTATGCCTTTCCTTGACACAGTTATCCATCATCAATAAAAATGTATTTATTGTTACGAGTCATGAGCTCGAAGTAATACGAAAAAATTAAGAGCTCTGCAACGTAACTGAGGTCCTATTTTCAAGGCATTATTGTCAGAGGAACAGATGAGGAATTATAAAGAATAAGGAAAATAATAGGAACTAGTAGGCCCGTGCGAAAAATTCGCACATCATATTGTTTTCAAATGCCAAATTAATAGGAAAAAACGTGTCAAAAGATAAAGAAATCAATTGTTACTTTATCGATAAATATAATCGACAAAGGAAACAAAAATTAATTTAAATGTTCATTAATGTTTGGGACCGACATGTTTACAAATTCCAATAAGCTGTATATTTGCTAAAAGTTGTCTGATTTCGATGATATTTTTTTCCTCTTGTAGGGAATTTATTAATCTTTTATATAATCATGGGCTCGATGGTCTCGTCAACACTGCTCCATGCTGCAGAGATCTGGGGGACGAGATACCTGGAGGTTTTGGAGAAGACGCAAGTTCGATTTATCAAATCATTGCTCCATTGGCCAAGAGATACACCGAACTATGTGGCTCGCCTTGAAAGTGGGAGATCTCCATTAAGTGTTGAAGTGTTGAAAAAAGTGATCAACTATTGGACAAAGCTAAGCTTAATGAGTCCAAGTAAAGATGATTGTGGCGGAACTCGGATGTCAGGGGATGTTTTCTTGTGTTTTCTCTCAAGGTCTGATGAGGTTCAAAGATGAAATCATGGAAAAAATAAGAAACCATCACTCATCCAAGGACATCGACAGAGTGTTAAACTCCAAATCAAACCCAAGATATAGAAAAATCTGCTCCTTTAATGTCACTGGACCAGAGGATTATCTTCAGTTCAGGGCTCTGAATTTAAACAAATTAACAGCCGTTAGTCGTCTCAGAGTAGCAAGTAAAGATTTTATGAAAATATACTAAAAGATGCTACTTTGACTATTAAATCCAGTGAGGTATGTGGTGCATGCAACTGCCTTGTAACTGACGCGGTAACTCATTTTCTGATCCAATGTATCAAGTTCAACGAGCCGAGAAATAAGTACTTGAAGGCATTTATCACTGAATCCAGAGAAAATGCTAGTGTGGAGGAGATACTGAAAATAGACACTACGATAAAAATAAACCAACTGTATTATTTCATACAGGGCTGTTCATTGAACTGTTAAGTGGTAAAGTTAATCATATAACATATATTAATGCTTGTTTATATTGTCATTTGTCTTATACCTCTCGAATATTTAAAATAAAAAAAAATAAAACAAAAAAAAATTGTTTTACTAATTGTTATGTGTATATATGTATATATATATATATATATATATATATATATATATATATATATATATATATATATATATCGTTTTCTAATCTGTTATTATATTAGTCATACTTAATGCTTTGGACATTGTTAATGTTATGTTTGAATGCAGTACTAGACTCAAGATCTAACATTGTTAATTATACCATTATATTTATTTGTACAGGAATTTCCTTAGACAAATAAAATAAACTATCTATCTATTTATATGTAATAATGGGCGAAATCGGTGGCTCAATCTTGTTATTTAGTGAAGAATTAACGATTATATGGCTTGCCGATCAAAAAAACCTCCGATAAATAATATAAACTCCTCCTCTCTCGATCATAGAGGCCTCAAGACGACGAAATGAGACATGTATTCAATGACAGTACTACAATTAATGTAAGGTTGTGTGGATGCGAATCCTATGCCTTGCGTTATCTCGAAAATAGTACGTTTTGGGGCTTAAAAACGAAGGATCCGATAGTTCCGGGTCTTGCTGTATACATCAAAATCTTCAAGGTCCAATTTGTCCCGTATCGATCTACAGACCTACCTCCGTTACAGTATTGAAGCCTAGCAAAATGTTTATTTATTTTATAAAGAAAACCAAAAGCGGAGAATACCCGCTAACCCCCCGTGAAATTTTGAATCCAACGGTACCCCATTCATGGTATTTGAGCCTGACATGAACTTAAATTTGGTACAAAATCGATTTCGAGCCTTACTATAATAATATATGTGGGGATAATTAGGTCGTGATAAATATTTACATACTTATAGGCATTAAGCTATCTTAGCTAGTATTTCCGATTCCGATCAAATCGCCGACCAAATAATTAGTACATTCCTTCATGAAAACGTTCCCAACAGCAGCTATTTTAATAAAAGAACAACGCACTCTAATGAGAAATATACAAATTATTATCGTGACCAGTTTTATGGATTCTTCAAGGAGATTATAGTTGCTGAAGGTTGCAATGCGTTCAGATCTATTGAAACTAAGTTAGCTAGTCGACTTTTCTTAATCGATTTTAGTTTACGTATTTCATTTAATCATTTAGCTTATTTGTTATTTTTTTTAGCTTATTTATTGAAAAATATTACAATCTGTCTCAAAGACATTTATAATAGTGTTCACAGATCACATTCACACTCTATGTACAATAAAAAAATAAATTATACAGAAAAATAATATATATACAATAAATAAGAATAAAATAAATGAATAAAAAGAACACATTCATACATATATACAATATTTACAATCTGGCGAGAGAACTCCAAACCAGACTCTTCCCTCCAACTGTGGAGGGAAAAGCATGACTCTAGGAGTTCTCTGTACTTATTTGTTATTAATTTATTAATATTTTTTATTTTTTACTTCAAATTATTGGGAGCAGGGAAGGGAAGAGAAACGACATACTCACACTATTAATATTTTTATTGGAGGGGGCATCGCTCCCCTAGCCTCCCCTTGTAGTCTGCATCTATGGTTCTACAATTTTGGACCTTTTTTTTTTTTAGATTTAGAGTTATAAAGGAAAATATGAATCCCGTATCACTGATTTATTACTTTCCTACCTCTACTAGGTAAAAAAAGTATTGTAAGTACTAGGTAAAAAAAATTTCCGATGTATGGTTTTCGACGGATCTGTACGTTTCAGAGTCCTCTGAGTCCGAAAAACACATTTTCAGCTATTGATCTGTATGTCTGTCTTTGCCAGGATTATCTCGAGAACTATTTCACCGATTTTGTTGCTTCTTTTTTTATTTTGGAGGTTTTTGATTACTGATGCCTATGATATAAATAGGTTGCTCCATGCGCAATAAGAGAAAAATATATTTTTCTGTAGACTAAAGCGCAAACAATGCACTATCGATTTTGATAAAACTTTCTATAACACTTATCAAAACTATAATTTTCTAATTAATGTTCGTTCGATTATTGTAAATGTAAGTCCCAAGAAAAATCATGAAACAAAGTTATAATGAAAACGAAAATGTTTTGAGGCCTAACTAGCTAAGTATATAATCTATGATAAAATTTATAAAACACTTTTGAAAAGTAATTAAAAAATAATTAAAATAAATTAAAAAATCATCGGAATCGAAGTAGTATTAGCAATGATACAGCGCATTCTTTTTTCTACACATGTTTTAATCTATTACTTTCCTACCTATACTTTCCATATTATAGCCTATTTTTTGAAGGGTGACGAAATTCTCTACAAGTCTATATAAAAATCGTTGATATCTTGATACGTCCATATCTCCAAAACTGCATGTTCGATTTGGCTAAAATTTGGAGGGAGGTTAGGGATTGGTTAACAGATAATCAAGAAGATAAGAATTTTATGAAATTATACCCACTTCTCCTAGAAAAAATACCTTTCTTTTCGAATCAGCAAACGTATTATTTGGCAATCCTGTAGTTTGAAAACTGCGCCTTCCATTTGACCCAAACTTGGAGAAAATTTGGAGAATAGTATAGAAATTTCCTAATATGAATTTTATTGAACTCCATTTAATAATTAGAATTAAAATAAATAATTGTTAACAATGTAATTGCAGTGAAATGTGAAAGGTACTGATCATATGGAGTGAGAATTACTTAGATTTCGTATAATTTTCAATAAATTTCAATAAATTTTTACTCTGTGTTTGTAAGAAAGAAATGTCTTATTTGTGATTGTGTTTATTTCTAACGAAGTTCAACTAGCTTGTAATGTTATCGAGTTTATGTGTGATTTTTACATATATTTTTGTATTCCAGCTTAAGTAATTTTGTTCTCACTGAAGAAAAGTATTGGTCTCGTTAAATCTGAAAAAAAACAAAAATGTTAGTTTTTCTTATTTCTCTTACGGAGTATTTGTAACATCAATTTTACGAGTGAAAACTTGAGTACATATTATAATTAAGTACATATTACTATTGTTACTGCAAAAGATCGTAAGCATTCTGCTACGATGAAAAAAAACAGAGGGCAATAAATTATGAAATTATACTAATAAATCATAACGATTTAGTTTTTATCATTTCCTGTAAGACACTCAATGTTTAAATACGACGTTTTGCACTAACAGTAGTGATATTCATGTTCAGTAAGCACTCGATTTTTTTTTTTTTTAATTCCGAGTCATCAAATATGCAAGCATGCGGAACTTTTTCGCATTTTAGTATTCGCTGATGAACAAAGCTCGTGGATAACAAACCCGTATATGTTGAGGGATTACTGAATTTCGGAAACAGGCTTCTCCCAGAGATTTTATTCTCTTACGAAGAATTTTAGATCTTCAGATATCAATTAGCTTCCCTAAATTGTTTTTTTAGCTAATGCAAACGGTGAGGAAGTTATACTGGCCTTCCTTGGCAGACTTTTTTTGTTTGATAAAATTTTACATATTCGATTATTTTTATTTAATTTACACTTTTGGAGAATATGAAAAAAAAAGTACGCAAAAATAAAAAAAATGGACAAAACTTATATTAGGAATCTTATATGATGGACAGTAAATGGACTTTTTCCTCAGAGAAGTAAATGGACGATGTCAAAAGGTGTTCAGAACTGGACAGAACTTTTGTACTCGTTCAAAGGTGACAGCCAATCAGGATGGCGCCTTTGGGTCGAACGGATTGTATGGGACCGACTTTCTTCCAAACTGTGAATGGTCGAGCCGTGAAATCGTTTTAAATAATTCGCCAGTGAGGAGAAACCTTACTCAAGAATGATTTAACCTGATTACATTCACCGGACACGTAGCTGGCCCGGCTACCTCAAGCTAATAGTTTCACCGTGGTACACTTGTACGGGTACGACAGCATGAACAACACCGTTTCCATAGTGACGGCTTTATCAGCCATTATACAACACCCTCAGGTGGAATGGTTATTATAGCAAATTCATCAAAGCATAAGTACGGCATATTATTTTTTAAAAATTAATGGCAGATGTTGAGTATTACAACAATCTGTCAGTTGGATTAGTTATAGTGAAGTAGGATAACATTCCCACTATATGTACAAATAAATATAAAATAAATAGAACAAAAATAACAATAAATAATAATCAAAAATTATATGCAATAAAATAACTTTTTTATTATCATTATTTCTTAATGATATTTACAACTGTAATTAATAAATACATTTAGTAAATTTGAACATATGGATACAATGACGTGAAAACACTTGCTGAGTAGCACTCTAATGATATGTCTACATTAGGAGATCACGGGGCCATCTTCTTTTCAGACGCCTCGGATGGTTATCAGGAATTGAAGAGGAAGCGAGGTTAGAAATGAGAGGGTTGGGATGATTCTGAAGTTTACTATGGAAGGATAGGTATTTGGATTGGGCCAAATCTGGAACATAAGAACCATTAAGGTCATTATGGATGGTTTTATTTGTGACAAAGTAAGTGTTGAGGATTTTACGAAGGATTTTGGATTGTAAAGATTGGATACAAGAGGAATTCGATGGTTTAGTGGAGCCCAAAAGCTCAATTCCGTAAGTCCGAATAGGTCTTTTTATAGTCATGTATATGAGTCTTTTGTAATTAATTGGAAGTTTAGAGCGATTGGAGTTTGTCTAGTAAGTGTTGAAGCATTCGGAAACGTCGAGCGGTTTCTTGTCGTTTCAGTCTAGTACGCGGATTCAAAGTAAGACGTTTATCCAAGTGGAATCCTAGATAGCTGATTTTTTCAACAGGAATAAATGAAATACTAATTGACTCGAATAATTCGGAGACAATTTTCTTTAGTGAAGGGATAGCAAAACAATATGGAAATACGTAGATCCTATGTATTATGTAAGGGAGGAATTATTTATTTTTCCTAGACTGATTCCATTTAATATAATAGACCAAAATATTTGTACAAATTGCTTTGCTAGAGCCTTTTTCTGAAAGCTCGCAGAGAAAGTAACATTCAAAATGAAGCCTCAATCAGAAGATTTTCTAAATAATTAAAAAATATGAAATGTACAAAGAAAAAAATGCCTTCAAAATGAGCGATAAATCATTGGATTTAATGAAGAATTGACCAAGTTATGGCGTACCAAAAAAAAAAAAAAACTTTTAGAAATAATATATAGGATTATTGAAGGATACCGTAATACAGCAAGTCATAGGTTTACGACGGAGGGTAAAGGTGATTTGATGGTAATTTTTTTTGGAATTTATTAGGAACAAATTCAAACACCGAAAATTCAAGAAGCATTAACAGGTACCCTTTCCAATATTTAATCCAGTTCCAAATGTCCTCGGTCCACTTAATAATAGTGGACGTTCGTCTCCCACCAGAGCTTTAAAGCCTTTCACCGATCCAAATTAAATATTGAGGAAAAATCGTTTCAGATGTTACTATAAAGGGTGCCCCCCTAAGCAGAGGGAAATTTTGTAGAAGTGACCTCAAGAGTTACAAAAAAGTACATATAAACAATGGCAAATTTTGAGAACAAAAATAGAAAATCTAAGTTTTATGTTTTTTTTAGCAAGTCACTTTTTTTTTTAAATAGGAAGCGATAACAAAAGAAATATTTGATTTAAGTAATTAACAATTGCTTCACTGTAAACTAGACAAAAATTACTTTAAATAAAAGTAGAGTTTGTCATTGTCAAAAACCTTTACAGAGGACTTTTGAGGGGTTAAACTAAGACTAAATTCTTTTTTTTAAATTTTAGTTTGAATTATTCCCATTTTTTATTTATCATGATTCAGCTATATTAAACTTTTAGAAAAACTTCCTCGTTTAATTAGCTTTAAGTCCATATTAATTAAATGGGGGTTCATTGGTCAAAAAATCGAGATACACCTCATGTTGTGTAAAAAAAAAAATAATATGATTTTTTATTCTTTCCCTTAAAATACCCGCGTTTTCACCAAAAAATGACCACAATTAATTGTTGCAATATTTTATTTAATGTTTTTTTCCATGATCTTGAATGTATTATAATAAACATAATTGAATACATACACTTTTTATTTATTAAAAATTATGATTTTTTAAATATTTCGGTGTAAATTGGTTATGAAACTGTGTTTTCACCATTGAATCACTTATAAAAATTAATACTTATTTATAAGTAATAAACTAAATGTTTCTAGTCCTAAAATTTACGTTTAAAATAAATCCGTTCATTGATTAAATTATTTTCATGAAAACATAAATATTAGAACATTAAGTTTGTCACTTATAACAACGGACCAATTTTTATGACTGAGATTTGGAAGAAAAAATTGTTTTGTAAGCAATTTACCATAAAAATCATTATTTAAAAAAATTGATATAATAAGTTAAGTGATTACCAGTTTTTACTTTCACTTACCTATATATGTAATATATAGTAACTATAAGTATTGCGATGTTGAATCTAAGTTTTCAACGGAAATACACGTTTTGAGGTCCTCTGAATCCAAATAACCAAGTGCCGAAAAATAGTCTGTGTGTCTAATATTTCATGGATATGTTTATAACCTTAAATATATTTACTGTAGTTTAATAACTCTAGATCTGACATTATATTTAAATATACCTTTTAGAATATTAAATTAGAGATTGATAAATTTTCCCTTTGCGATATTCCAACAGAATCCACTTACAATTAGTATGACAACTTTTGACCTGCCAATGAAAGACAATGCAAATCTCTTAATTCCGTTTTAATAAACTTTGCAATGGAAAATAACAGTTTAATAACTAATAGTAGTACAATCCATAATTAACTGGTGATATAATACTTTTGTTATTTTAATAGTATTTACGATTTTTTAACTGTTATCTTTTAGCTTCAGCTCAGTTAAAAACCAATTTAAAAATTTTACAATAGCCTAACATGGCCAGAAAATAATTTCTATTCAAAGTTCAGCGATAAGTGAAAGATGGGTGTTGCGCGCACCAGATTTTTTATTTAATAATGTATTGAATTGAGTATTTAATTGTCAGTTTTTTTTTATTCTTATAACAGATTGTTTTGTAATTTTTTGGTATTTCATTGTTGTTGTTAATTTTATTATTTTATATTAATTATCTAGACTGATGAAGGTTTGCTTAAAGTCCGAAACCTGTAGCAATGGAGAACAAAAAATTATATATAGGATGATAACATCTCTTTTTATTTAATATTATTTTTATATATTTTTGGTTTTTATTTATTAGGTAGTTCAAAAACTCATTTAGGGTTCTTAAAACGAAAAAAAAAATGTGCAGTGTTTATGGGGATGATGACCGAACGCACCTGTCAAAATTGGTTAGCCAAATTTCATTGAGTAAATTTTGACATCAATGATGCTCAACGGTCTGGTCGCCCAGATGAAATTGAAACGAGTAATGTTAAGGCCATTGTTGATCAAAATCCCAACCAATCAGTGCAATAGATTGCTGTGGCCCTAAATGTGTAGTACACAAGCCTAGAAAACCATTTGCACAAGCTCGATTATGTTTCCACCCTTAATGCTTACGTCCCTCACATGATTTTTTCTTTGAAAATTACAAAAAAATGTTATAACTTCAATACGACTTTAGCTATCTACAAGAAATTTAGCAGGAATTTAGATCCACATAAACTACACAAAATGACATCAACAGAACTTTCGTAAACAAAGTACAAATGGAGATAAAAAATCAAAACCTATAAGGAGTTTTTTTATTTATTCTTTATTTAGGCATTAAATAAAAAAACAAAATCATACGGCCTTGATGAGATATGATTCAACCTTCCAACGGTTATAGTAACATCGAATTTGTAGAATATCCTGAAGAGTTATGAATGTTGTGATTCACCAAGACAACGCTATGCCCCACACCTCATTGGTCATAAATTGTTGAGTCTTGGATGGAACATTTTGGCCCACCCTCCCTATTCACCAGACCTAACACCAAGTGACTACCACTTATTCCGATCTCTGCATAAATCCATGAATGGAAAGAAATTCCAAATGGAAGAGGACATTAAAACAAACTTGGACTAATTTTTCAAAGTTACAAACAATCCTACATATAACTTTTAAAAAAAGTTACGAGGGATGGTAAAATAAAATCTCTAATAACTCAAAAAGTATACATGTGGATATTCTTACTTATTTATTTAGACATATAATATTCTGTCACAAGGACAATAATTATATTGATAAATGAACACATTCACACCGTATTTACAAAAAAAAAATTAAATTAACAAAAGTAAAATAATAACTAAATAATAATAAATAAAAACTATATACAATAAAAAAAAATAACCTAAATACAAGTAAATCAAAAATATAAAAACAGTCACACCTATATACAATATAAACAATCAGGCGGGGAACCCAAATCCCCGCGCTACTCTCTCAACCGCCTCACCGGTGCTAAAGCCGGTGGAGTTTGAGCGAGAGCGCTACATGTGGATATTGTGATAAGATTTTTCAAAGATTTTTTAATTTCCTAAAAAATGAAAGAAGTTTCATCGAAATGTATATATGTAATATATAGTAATGGTAAGTATTGCGATCGTGAAAATTTTCGAATCTCAGTTTTCAACGGAAATACACGTTTTGAGGTCCCCTGAATCCAAGTAACCAAGTGTCGCAAAATGATCTGTGTGTGTGTGTGTGTCTGTGTTTGTGTCCGTGTGTGTGTGTGTTAACAGTCTAGCTCATAAACGAAAAGTAGTACGAAACTGATATTA